AGACTCTGCTTCCGAGGCCTTCCAGCGCCCTTTAGTTCAAAGTGCTCAGGATGCCAGAGTGTGCCACACTTTGGGGTATCATTTTCTGAGCCCCGACAGAAGACTTTCGCTTTTAAAATTAACAACGTGCTGACCATCTTTGTTCTTAAAGAATTATTTCCTTCTACAGGGATTACTTTTGAGGTCTTTACAGCCTATTTTGACCCTCCTGGTTGTGGGCTTGCCCCCTTCTTCCTGCCCACTCTCGCCTGGGTCTGTCCCAGACGGGCTGCTTGGCGACTTGCCTCTGAGGGGGCGTGTGGGGGACTCTCCTCCCCTCCACACCACTGGGCACACAGAGGGTGTCCGGAAATCCCTTGACCTGAATTCAGAGCCCTCTCCCCTTCCTCAGTATCCCCCTCCACCATGCAGAACTCTCAGTTTAGGGCAGCAGAGCAAGGGCTGTTCTGGAGGGGCCTGGCTCTGCTCTGAGCCTGGGATGGCTGCTGCCTTTCTCTCTGCCCCAGACACACCCACAGAGAAGGTAAAGACACAGCTCCTGGCTGGGCCCCTCATTTTCTGTCACCCCAGCACTAGCTCCTCCTCAAGGGAGGCCACAGGGAGGGTAGGTTCTGCAGAGGAAAGGTCCCAACTTGATCCACTCAGGCTACACTCTTTGGTGCCCGTCCCTGGGGAGCGTGGCATCCTGGGCCCCTCCCAACAGTGGACCCCCGTGACTGGAAGGTAAACACCTCTGGGATGCCCCCACCCCGCACCCGCACCTATGGCTGGAAGGTGAGGGGGAAGAGGGCTGTGCCCACCCAGCTGGGGTCGGGGGGGGCTGGCAGCCCAACCTGGGGGCACCCTGGGAAGGGCTGGGCGGAACCCGTCCGAAGCTCCTGGATTATTCCCATGCCTGGCTGGTCCAGGGCACTGTATCTTAGCAAATGGCCTGGTCTAAACTCTGTTTGTGTACTGAGGAGGGGTCTGAGGCCAGTGCCTGGAAGCCACTCGCCTTGCCCTGGGGTCTCTGGCTGCCGGGGCTGCTTCTGCCAACCTCTGGCGCTTCTGGGAGCCACTTCCCCCACTGAAACTCAGTCTTTTCATCTGTGAGATGGACATAAACTGGTGCCCACCGTGACTGCCCAGCGGTTAGCAGGCGGTGGGCAGCATTGAAACAGCTCCTCCTGCTGTTTGAGAAAGGTCCCAGCAAACCAGTCTGACAGCTTCCAAGTGCCTAGAAAACTGGCTGAGTGGCATTCCAGGACTCCCGGCATGGGGGCCAAGATCTCCTCCAAAGGGGGGCAGGAGGGCTGAACCTGACTTTTCAG